CAATATCGTATACATCTATATCAAAAATTGGTACGTATTTTTACAAAATGATTTTTATTTTTGTTATAGAATAGGCTAATATTTATTGCATATATACTAGACACCTAGATCTACTCAATGCTAGAATGTTGAGCTTCCTACCTCTCATAATCACGTAGATACAAATGACATCAAATTCAAAAGAACTTTTTGAATTATTTTTGAAGATTTTTTTCGCTTTTTTTCATGATAGATGTGAAATAAAAAAGGACAGTTTGAACACAGATTACAGATCCAAGTTCTTTGAACATAACAAGAAAAAAATCTGCGTGAATGTTTAAGTATCTACTCTCTATCTTGATTTATCACTTGCTTCAATTGATTCGGTAATTTTCCATCGTTTGTTCGCATTTTTCAAAAATATCCTTTCTCAATTTTCCATTAACTGCTCCACAAACTATCTCCATTGTCGAAATATCAACAAATTTTAATTTAACAACTTCAAAACAAATATGCTCATCAAACAAAGACTCAATAGTGTTCATCATGAATGTTATTCGATAATTTGCTACCCTAGTCATCGTAAAAAATCGATGCTAATTTGTTGATAACCATGTTAATAAATAACAGCACACAAGAATGGTACGCAGAAAATTAAGTTACTCATCATGAGAGATTGATCAAATGATTAAAATTTTTTCATCCGTACTGTTTTTAAAAATAATTCAAAAAAGTCTTATGAATATTATGTTGCTTGTATCTCCGTGACTATAATAGGTAGGCGACTCAAATTATAGCATAGAGTAGATCTAGATGTCTAGTATATGTACGATGAACATCAGCCTATTCTTTTTGGAAAACGCGTAAGAAAAAAATATTACTTGAAGACGATCAAAACTTATTAGACACTCTTTATTGTCCCTAAATCGACAACAAGAATAAGTTATATCTATGATTTCTAACAAAGAGTATAAAATAAAAAGATAGCAAGAATAAATGAAAGCAACAGGTAAATAAAACTGATCATTTTTGAAACAAGATGGAAGAATGCAACATGTTTAACAAGCATATCCATTGACAAAAGAAGATCGCGGTAAAATAATTACATGGCAACTATGATACAGAGACACTAACATGGTATGATATTAATTAGATTCAAATTGAGACCAATTGACAAGATGTGAAATTTAGTTGTTTAATGTCTTCAGTTGTGAAATGAAAAGTATTCAATGATGAGTAACTCAATTATTCATCAAATACAACACGAATGATCAGCCTTCATATTATTTTTTTTTGGATTGTAAAACTTCAAGCTATCTAAATAATTGCATTCTCGAATTGTTTATGAAATAATTCATTAATACGACATTTCCAAATCGATATGACAATAGCATCTTCAATCCTTTGTAAAGAAACGTTATTTAAACCTACTGGTAAAAATTCTCAGAGGAAAATGTACCAAAAGATACGTCATGATTAGAGCTGCAACTTATCTAAAAATTCAGGCTTGTAGCTCTCATCTTTATCATAATACTTTCTTCCATGATGCTAAAAATCGTCACCGAAACTGTATCTTTATTTTTCTCTGGTTTGATTCTTTTGCCACAGAAAAAAAAACAACGTTCAAAATATAATAGAAATGACGAAGGGTAAAATTGCAAAATATAATCAGAATTGAAAAAGTCAGTTGTTTTAGTATGATTCAACATTTTAAAGAATAATGATGCTTACTATTTAGATTTTCATAAGAAATTTTTCTAGGATTTCTAATGAGATAATCAAGATCAAAATCAAAAATTTCTCTGCAGCTCATTCCTGCGTACGTTGGTTCCTGTTTTGACGAACTTTCTTTTAAATTTAAGCTAAAATTATATTTAATATTTGAATAGTCATATTTTTATTAAAGAGGAAGAAAAATACAAGGATACTTTTCAATTAACTAAAACAATATCATCATTTTCCATTTGTTCTTTTTCATTTGATAAAGATGAATTTGATTGAACATCTAATAAATTCTTATTATTAGACTCATATAATTGTTCATTTGATCGATGATATAAAGTATTATCTTTATCATTCCATGTTAAATTTGACATTAGAAATTGTGTATGTTGAGTTTTTATATGATGTTTTAATGAATCTTTTCGTGAATAACGTTTACCACAAAATTGACATTCTATAAAAAATAAAATAATTTTTATCTAAGTAAAAAATTCTTTTTTTTTTCTACTAACCAACTTTCCATATATCTTGTGAACTATGTGTAATATAATGTCGATTAAGACCTGATCGATTAACATAAGAGTTAAAACAAAGTGGACAACGATATTGTCGTTTGCCATCAGAATGAATTATTTCAACAACTGAATCAGTTAATTTCGGTAAACCAAAACGAGTTATACGTGTTGAATTCAATCTATCATTATCATTAATATAGTCTAATAAAAATAAAAATTATAATAGAAATTTTCATTTTTGAATTTTTACTTATTTGATTAGAATTTTGTTGTTGTTCAATAGTATCAGGTGGAATTAATTGCTCAAGACTTTGTAATTCATCAAGCTTTCGTTGTTCACAATTATGTAATTTTATTTGATCAATATTATAAAATTGAAAACAATGTTTACAAAATATATAACCTTTTTCATGCATTGAATAATGATTAAGAAATGTTTCATGTGTATGTAAACGAATTTGACATTGATTACAAAGAAAATATTTCGATGAATTATGAAGTTTTGTTGTGTTTATATTATATTGTTTTTCATTTTCATCGAATTCATCTGTTTCAGTAAGATTATCAATTGTAAAACGGAATGTATATCGATGACCACATTGACATATAAATATTTGTGAGGTATTAATTATTGATTTTTCGAAATTTTCCGAATGAATATATTCAGATTTTCTAATATTTGAATAACTAGAAATATTTAAACGAGATTTAAGCCAATTAAGAAATTGATTTATAGAATTTTTATCACTTTGTTGAAGAAATTGTTCAATATCATTACATAATGAAAATACATTGGCCATTGAATTGTTTGAATGATTTATTGATTAGTTGCTAAGGAAAGCTTATCCAAAAGCTAATGGAAAATAGTGGAGCGAAAAATAATTTCTTTTACTTTTTTAATTGATTTTTCCATAAGGATAATGTTATGGTTTCAAAGAGCATGAGCAATGAAATTTATACCAAATGATAACTTGTTTAAATATAGACTTTTGAATATATAAATAATGATTACCGACTATAGGATAATGGAATTTTTTCGAAAATTGTAAACATACAACTGGTTATTTTTTGTAGGTATGAGATCGGATGGCAAGTTGTTGCAGAAAGAAAAAAGCATTGAAAATACAATATTATTGAAAAATTTTTAATCTGTAGTAAAACAAATATGTCGCACACTAATAGTTTATTTGTTCTGTTATATAATTATTAAAAAACTCAGAATTCTGGTGGATAATGGTTTTGATAAATTTATTTAAAAATTAATATACTAATAGTATTACTAAGATCAAAGTAATGTAAAACTTAATTGCCATTGGTGCATTAGTTCTAAGAAAAAATAAATTTTATTAAAATCATCAGCAAAGAGAAGTCAACAAAATTTCATAGGCAATAAATTTTTCTTCGAACAGCGCCTTTTTATTATTAGTTACCTATGAAATTGGCTAGTTAGATGCATGAAAAACTTGAGCAAATTCAGTATCTCACAGGTCATATACTATCTCTACATTATTAGTTATACGTACAAAGTCCGTTTTCAACGAACTTTCATTTTATGTATAGTAGTCATCAAAAGTCTCACTACCAGGTAAAAATGACGTCAATTTGAATCTGTTTGCTTGATATATTTACACCAAATAGGGCACGATAACATCTAATCTCAAGTACCAATCTGAGGTCGATCGACCTTAATGCGTCGGACTTAGAAAGAGACAGTGTTCTTTTCCTTGCGCTTCAAAAAAGGCTTTTTTGGGCATTTTTAAAGTTTGTCATTATTTTGAAGTGGTATCATCGTGAAGTGTAGTGATGTTTCTATTATATGGAATGATCATCGCATAGATCTTCCCTCCACCAATGGCTATAATCATGATGTGTTCATAGATGATGAGAAACACTCAAGAACTGAGAAATAGGAATTTCTTCTTAGCTTCCTCACAACTCCATGATTGCGAAAGTCACCAAAAAAAAGCACAATGTTCACGACATTTGTTTTTTGCAGTCACATTGATATCCATTAAGAAATTTGTAAAAATAAATGTGTAAGTATGAAAACTATTGCAGAAAAAGCATTACTTTAGCTATTATGAATGACGAAACTGTGAAAGAACTAATTGTCAATTCTTGTTATTCCCAAGAAATTATCATAGCTACATTGCAAGTTTCTTCACAACTGATAAGCTACTGTTTCTCAGTTCTTGGACATTGCTGTCATCTACATATAACCGGCTCGATTGAATATACTGAACTTATGCAATTCTGTATAACTTTTATTCTCGATTAGTCATTATTCGAGAATATGCTGAGATATTATTTGATGTTCAAGAATGGGCCATCGTGGGCTCGCAGAACAGGTATTACTAATTCAAATTAAATCAAGAGAGTAGTAATTATTAAAAGAAAAAAAATGACAAACGTCCTGCAGGGTAGATTCAAATTACATTCTCGAAATGTCTCTCAACGAGTATATCGCGTCGCAGTTTAATGTCCTATACATTGTGTCTCAAAATACGATACATTTGATGCTAGTGTGTTGATAACTACTGTAATATTGATTGATTTATGCCACTTGAAATCATAGCGTCAGATCTCTAGGAAAAAATTATAGTACAACACACTCTGTACATATCATGACAATAATAATGAAAAAATATGTAGAAAAGATAATAATATCCTGAGATGTATGACAATTTTTATTTGTTTTTTTAAATTATATTTGACTATCACTGCTTTATGACAAATCAATTGAAAGACACTTTTAGTAAACAATATACATTAAGGAATGTAAATCTAACATAATTTAAGAATATCATCAAAAAGTGCTTTTGCTGTGTAAGCAATATTAACAGCATGTTCACCCATTTTATCATAATTTCGTTGTCGAACTGTTTCAATTAATGAAACAACTAAATTGGAAAAATGACTGTAACGATGCTCAGACTAAAATAAAATAAAGAAAATATTTTAATTATTATAAAACAAAGCAAGAAATTATGAACCATTTCTTTAATAGATAGAGGTGCATAATCAAGTGTTTGTAGAAGATCACGAACAGCAATAGCAATATTTTTAACTAATTGCATTTGTTCTCTATCCTTAATTGGTGATAATGGACGATTATATGTTATAGGTATCCCACTATTATAATCAGTTTCACTTTGTCGTGTTAATTTAAGTACAGCAGTAATAATTTGTTTTGTTTGAGAACGAAATAAATTAATTAATGATGACGACGACTTAGAATGTTCATCTTTAGATTTTGATGATTTGATATTTTTATCATGATATTCTTTAGTATTAATTGAAAGAGTTGATGTATTTGATGAAAACTAAAATATAATATTATAATATGGTCAAATTTCGAAAATACAACTTTTACAAGTATCGAATGTATTAAAAATATATTTATTAACATTTGGAAACTTTTCACATGATCGAAAAAGATCAAGTATTTTAGACTTACTACATAGGAATCAAATTCTACATCATTGATTTCAGTTTTTAACAAGACATTAAACAGTGAATAGAATTACTATCGGAATTTTAAAAGAAGACCGGTGGAAAAAAAGCTTATAATTTTTCAACGAAAAGCCAAAGCGACCTGCGGTTTTCACCATTTGAAAGAGCAAAGTGGGGCACGTGAACCTATGTAAAAATCGATGGGTCAATT